GGCTGTGTTTACTCCACCACATTAATCACTGGTGTCCTGGCGCCCAGCCCGTGTCTGCTAAATCAAGAGCAGACTGAGATTCAATTCGGCCAGTTGTTCCCGCATTTGGAGACATGTTCTCCAGGGCGCTCGGGGCTGCGGGCCAGAGACAGGCCAGGCAATGGGAGTGAGCGGGGGAGGTGCTGCTTCTCCCTCTGAATTTCTCCCTTTCTCCTCCCGCTGTTCTTCATTAGTTCCCATAAAGAAGGACTAGAGGACACCAAAGGAAAGGAATGGGTAGCAAGCTTCAAACTAGTAACAGAAAGTTCTTCTTCACAAAGCAAATAGTCAACCTGTGGAACTCCTTGCTGCAGGAGGCTGTGAAGGCTAGAACTAGAACAGAGTTTAAAGGGAAGTGAGATCAAGTCATGGAGGCTGGGTCCATGGAGTGGTATTAGCCAGGGGGTAGGAGTGGTGTCCCTGCCCAAGGTTTGTGGAAGGCTGGAGAGGGATGGCACGAGACAAATGGCTTGGTCACTGTCTTCGGTCCATCCCCTCCAGGGTCCCTAGGGTTGGCCGCTGTCGGCAGACAGGCTACTGGGCGAGATGGACCTTTGGTCTGACCCAGTACGGCCATTGTAAGCTCAGGGTCGGGGGTCTCAGTGGACCCCCTTTATTCTCTTGCACACCTGCTCCTGGGTGGCCAGGCTGGCAGCTCTCCTGCCCTAGCCGGCCACTTTCCTGTGCCTAGTGCGGAGATCATGGACGAGGTCCACGATGTCCGCACTAGCCCAGGTGGGTGCCCGCCTCTTGCGGTCCTGGGCAAGCTCCCGGGAGCTGCCAGCCTGGTCCCGGGAAGAGGGGGAGGGCTGGGGGGCATCGGGTGGCTGGCTCGATCCGTGCCAGGTGCAGGGTCTGCTGGCTGGGTGCTGGCAGGCTTGCACCTGGCACGGGCACCGTAGCCAGCCCGTGCCCCTTTAAGGGGTCCGGGGCCGGGAGGGGGGCAGAAGAGTTTCCCTGGTGTTGGCCAGAGTGGCCACCAGGGGAACCTGGGGAGGGCTAGCCTCCCACTAGTTTGAATTAAGGGTCTACACACCCCTTAATTCGAACTAGCTAGTTCGAACTAGGCTTAATCCTCATAAAATGAGGTTTTCCTAGTTCGAACTAAGCGTTCCACTAGTTCGATTTAAATTCGAACTAACGGAGCGCTAGTGTAGCGCCTATGAAAGTTAGTTCGAACTAACTTTGTAGTGTAGACATACCCCCTCTGCTCAGACACCCCTTTTGTAGCCTTCAGCACCCCCTGCCGTTGCAGGGACCAGGCCCGGGTCACCAAACCGCCTAGCCAATGCAGGGGACTCCCTAACTGCTGCTGCTACGGTTGCCCCAGACCTGAGACTTACCTCCCAGCTCTGTCAACGCACGTCAGTCTTGGTCTGCAGACCTCTCCATCCCCAGCTCTGCCTCGGCAAGACACTGCCTCGCTCCCGTGCCTCAGTTTCCCTGTCTGTAAATGGGGGACAAAATACAGCTCTCCTTTGGAAAGCACTGGGAGCTCTCCTGATGGATCGGGCTCTGGGATACTGTTCGCATGGAGACAGTAGCAGATTTGTAACCTTGTAATATCTGGTCCAGGCAGTGGAGGGGAGAGAGCCACCCTGTTAGCATGGGTACAAAAGCAGTAGCAAATGGACACCATGGGCCGCATGGCACAGGTACCCAGGGGAAACAGCCCATTGCTTTCCTATGTCGTTTGGCTGCCTGGAGTTACCATGTTTTCTTCTTCCCCACCCCTCCCAACCTAAGTGCATCCATCCACCGAATTCTTGCATCTTCCGACAGGAGACGTGCTGGTTCCAGGGCCCCTGGAGACCTCGCTGGAGGAGGAGGAGCTGGGGGAGGCGTTTGATTTCGACGACAGCGACGAGGAGGATGCCACGCTGGGGGTCAGCAGCGCTAGCACCGAGCCCAGCCTGGCAGTAGCCCTGCAGGCCCCTCCCCGGAGGCACAGGTCAGGAGTTGCCGCTCAGCCCCTTTCGCCGGCCCTGCCGGAGCAGGATGCAGCGCCCCCTGCAGGGCAGGCACCGCTGACCGACTCTGGCTCCAGCACCAGCGCCGGTAAGTCGGGAGTTCTGCTCGTGGCAATGCAGGATGCTTTGCTCCTAAGGGGTCCTTGCAAAACGGGGCGGAGGGGAGGGGTGCAACAAGACAGGCTTAGCTTAGTGGCCGAGAAGCAGCAGGAACGAGTGAGAGCCAGGCCCTGAGTCGTCGTTGCCCTGCTCGGCTGGCAGTCACGTACCCAGTGCAGTGAGTTTCACAAGAGACCCTGCAGGCCTGGCAGAGATTGACGCCCGTCCTGATGCCTCTGAAGTGGCGAAACTGACTAGCAAAGTGCAGGGCCCAGAGGATCAGGCCTGCCATGTTTTGCACTCTGACTGATTGCAGTTTTGGGCTCCTGCCCAGCTCTGCTGATGCCCCTCGATCCAAACCAGCCACTCCCTCCCCTGCTCTTCCAGGGCAGGTCTCTCCCCATGTCCTTGCCAGTGTCCCTCAATACAGATCTGAAGCCTCCTCCACCTGCCTCATGCTGTCCAGGGCATGGAACTTACCGCTGCCCTCAAGTTCTGTTTAGAATACGAGGGAAAACATTGTTTTCCGTCGCACCCTGAAGAGATCCTTCTGTCGGGAGCGTGTGCTGGCCAGACACCAAACCCTTCCTGAGACCCATTCACCTAAACTCGGGGTGAGGTTGAAAGGTCTCCCCGAAGCATGTATCGAACTTCTTGGCCTTAGATTGAGCGTGGCAAAGAATGCCAGAAAATGAAGCCAACACGAGTGGGATCTTCTTGGTGTTGCATGAAGGGAACGTTCTGCTTGTAAACCAGATGTGCCGACATAAACCCTCATGCTTCAGGACAGAAGCAAACCCCTGCTTAATGGTGGTCAGGAAGGAACTTCTTGTAAGACCAGTTTGTCCCTGGATTGTCCATTGCTGGGTTTTCCACCCATTCAGAGTAGCTGACCAGGCGACTGAGCACGCTGGACCCGTGCTGAGATCCAGCCGAACAGTTCCCGTGCCCTTGAGAGCTCTGAATCTCGTTGTGCTCAGGTTAACGTACTGCACGATACCTACTTGGTTTCCTTCTGGTTTTGTTTTTGACAGATCCACTTGACACAAAGCTGCAGACAGAGTAAGTGAGTCTAGATTTTATTCTCCCCTTATCCCTAGGTGCTTGGTGGGTTGCGTGGGACGGGGGAATCCGAACGCGTGAGGTAGGGGAGGAGAATTCATATCGTTTCTAGAACCTGTGATGCTTTGCTGGCAATGGGGAGAGAAGGCTGCCTTGCCACTAGCTACCTCCTGCTGTCTAGTGCTAAGAAAGTCCAGTCTGTCATTCAACGTGCTTTAGCCTTTCCCTCCCGGCTTGTGTAACTACCACCAGGCGGATTTGAACCTGGGACCTCTGGAGCTTAGTGGAGCCTCTCCCACGTGAGCTAAAAGCCCGCTGGCTCTCCACTTGGGCTGCAGAGCTCCCTTGTTCTTGTCTTTCACTGTGAGTGGTCTAAGGGCCACTACCTGGGACAGTGACCCACACTAGGTGTGTGGGTTGCACTTGGTCATAGGGGAGTCCTGAGCCTGCTGGCGTTTGCTCGGGTGCTTACAGTAGCAGCCCATGTGACTCCAGGCCTGGGGCCCAGTCCCTGCAGCCAATGGAGCACTTCGCATGCTTCCACTTCGGCAGGCGTGCAAGTGCTTGCAGGGCGAGGCCCCGGGCAGTTGTGCCCACGGCCTTGCAAGTCCAGGGGTCTGTTCCTGGCTCTGCCCCGGACTCACTGTGTGGCTGGAACATCCCTTCCCCGCTCCATCCCGCAGCTTCCCTGGCATGCGGGCAGCTCTCCACCATGCCAGGATCTCACCAGGATGCCGAAAAGATCCCAGGGCACAGGGCTATACAAGGGAACTGCTGTTGCCCCGTGAGCGGGGGTGGTGGACAGAACGGGAGCCGGGAGGGAGGGCATGAGAGGCCTGGGACGTTTGGGGGGACAGCCTAGTGGATTTCTGCAGCACAGCTTGGCTCCCATTCCCTGCAAGACGCTGAGCCAGCTCCTGGGTTGCGGCTGCGGGCCCCGGAGGCCC